CAGGCGCCCCTAGATTTCAGATTCTTGCCAAAACTGGAGACGTTTTTTTTTTTTTTCTTTGAACATAGTATCTTCCTCATGAAAGCATACAGCTCCCACAAGGAATCGATAAATTTGGGGAGGAGGATCCCTTGCCTCTATGTTCCCATTGCCAACCTTACAAAATCTGGTCCTGCATGCCCTGGGATTTTGTCATAGGGGATGACTCAGTTAATTACCACTCTTTCTCACTGTACACTTGGAAACAGAGGTTCAGTTTCCTTTGGTTCTTGCCAAAGCTGCTTATGAAACATATCTGGTGCTGGTGCCCACGTCCTATAAAAATACCGGTTCATACTTTCCCCTGACACATTTCATTACGGGCTAAATTTAGCACCTCGCCTGGAGCGCAGCAGCTCACCTGCTCCTAACTAGCATGTCTCCACTTCCATGCCTGCTCAGGGTGCCCGCGTATCTGTCTGGCGCCCTTGTGTCCCCACTGATCATGGTGACATCTAGAGAAACATATCAGTTGTCAAAGACAGACACGGTGTTTGGGACTGGCGATTCACATTGGATCTTCTATGGAAAAAAGCCTTTGTCATAGGTTTAAAGAAGGGCTTCAACACGCGTTGCTTCGGTTACAGGTGAGAGGGACCGCATTCTCAGGGCCGTCCCACACTCGGGTCTGCCGCTGCCTCTGCCCACCTCTGTCCCAGCGCGGGGAAATCCCTGGACCTCCCTGCGCGGCTGGCGTCCCCCGGCCCCCACCCCCGGCTGTGCCTAGCGCCACGTGCACTTCTCCCCGTCCCAGGAGGATCGTGTTCCTTGCTTATCAGTTTGCGAGAGCGCTCCACGCAGGCAGGACCCAGCCCCCCTGCGACAGGTGCCTATTTCGGTGGTATCTCACTCGTGCCTCCGCGCGCTTGTCCACTACCGTGCGGTGCTCGGGGCGACCGTTCTTCGCGCCTCAGCGGTGATGAGACAGCGCCGCCCGCGGCCCTGAGTCCCGGTCCGGACCAGCCCCGCGGACCAGTGGGAGAAACCCCACGGCCCACGATGCCCTCAGCCGCGGCCGCCCGCCTTTGAGGCAGGCCGGCGAGGGGCGGGGCCGGGCGGCGCCGCGACGCGCTGACGTCAGG